ACACAAAAAAAAACCCACAAGCGCACACAATATAACCTTACACAAGGATATATAAAGTTTGTTTGGCTTCCAAAATTTTACAGCCCTACAGGAATAAATCTAAAAAAATCATCAATTCATCAGTGGAAAAAAATAAAATAATAAAACTAGTTGTAGACCAATTACATAAAAAGAGCACTGATCGAAAGAGCGTCCATTTAATATTGGAAAATTATTTGGTGATGAGTATATTATGAGTATTATGAGTGATAACCTTAGTGTGTGAAATTTAAATTTACTGCATTGAGGTAAAGCAGGACAACCACAGAGATGAGTTGACTGTCAGAGGCCATTAGAAAATAATTTGTAACCTTCACCAAAGCTGTTTCTGTCTTGTGATGAGCTCTGAAACATGACTGAAACTGTTCAAATAAACAATTTTTCTGACGATTAACAGTTACATATTTTACAACTATTTTTTACAATTACGACAATTTTTGAGATAACAGTAAGGTTGCCTATTAGTCTATTATTAGCTAAAACATCTAAGTGAAGAGATGGTCTTCTAAGTACTACTTCCAGCTTAGAGGTCTGTGGTACACAACTAACAGTATTACACTAATAGTGTAATACTGAAATATATCTAACATTTATTTAGAAACGTATTTTTATTATAGTTATTTTTAGACTGTTTTTTCCTGTATTTGATTATGTGAATTTAGAAATTCAGTAAAATATATTTACTGGCTATATTATAAAATGTATTTAATTCAAATGTTTACTTTCATGTGAGGTAATTAAAACAAAATCCTTTAAATGGAATTTCATAATGAAATTCAGAATCACATAAACCTACATATAAATCAAACGGAAAATATATACTTTACTCAGACCTACAATTTTTTGGTGATGTGAAGTTGTCAATCCATATGTTTTCAATATGCATTCTGAACCCTATTTCATTTACAGAGGGCTGCAATACAGATATAAAAAACCTCAGCATGTTAGTTCTCTCGCTTCCTTATGTACTTGTCCTCATGTCATACTACTTCCTCCATATTTTCAGTTATCTTCATTCATAGTCTCAGCTTTTGGATTTGATTGTGAGAACCAATAAATATGAAATCACAGTATAAAATTATTAACACAATTCTTTATTCAGAAATCTATATGGGAAAAGTGATATCAGACAGGTAGGATCTTGCTATTTTCTTACTTTCATTTAGAATTTTAAATAATGATCCGCTCTCTGTTGCACAAGGAAAAGGCCCAGTTTTTGAATCTCACACTATGACCACAGAAATCTGTGATATTATAATACAAAAGAGAAAAAGCTATATATTTTTGGTTTTCATTCAATCAATCATTTCAAATGTCCTTAAACTGTATATGAAGAAACAATATTATGAATAGGAGTAATGATAGTAATATTTTTTTAATGAATAATCCAAAAAATACTGAACAGAATCACATGCTTTGAATAGCTGGAGAAGTTTATCAGTTTTTACACTGAAAAGAAAATGTCTCAGAAATGATAGGTCTTATTAAAGACCTACCAAAGATCAGATATAATTTAACACCTCTTAAATAAACACTAAAAAACAATTTTTAACAAAAGACTATAAAAGTCTACAATAGTTTACATTAGTTCAAGAGAACAACCTTTTGAGGTTTTTAGAGATTTCTTTCATTTTTAGTCCATATATTATTGGATTGCAAAGAGGGTTATATGTTATAAATTGCAATGTCATTATAAAACGTGCAGTTTTAGGAAACTCTGATTCCAGTCTAACTATAACCATATCATAAGTAATCAAACAAGAATAGTTAATTAGAACTAGCACATGAGGCAAACAGGTTTGTGCAGCTTTTTTTCTGACATTTCCACAACTCTGACAGGCAACTATAATTATCTTTATGTATGTAAAAAGTATAAAAAGCATGGGGAAAAGTGCACCATTAAATAGAACAACCATACCATATATAGATAGTTCTTTTGAAGTTACACAATAAAGATGATTTACAGAATTGTTACAAAATATACCTTTCAAAGTAAAGTTACAGAGTGGTGTAATAGAATTTCTTAGTACTGGCACTACAATCTGAATAGCAGGTAAAAACCAGGACAAAATCAGGAAAATACTGACTCTTGTTCTTCTCATGATAGTTGGATATTGCAGAGGTTTACATATAGACACATATCTGTCATAAGCCATGGCTGACAGCAGTAAGAATTCTGAACTGCTTAAAACATAAAACATGAATACTTGAAAAAGACAGGCGTGATACAAAATAATCTGTTTTTCAGATAAGAAGTCAATCAAAAGCTTCGGGTAGATGACAGTGCTCAAAACAACAGAATTCACTAACAAAGCAGCAATGAAAATGTACATAGGCTCATGAAGGCTTTTTTGAACTATGATGACCCACACAATAGTGGAATTGCTGCAAATTATTAGACCGTATACCATAAACATAATTACAAAATAAATATATCTGTATTTCTCCACTTCCACATGGCCACCAAAAGTTATATATGTTATATTCATTTCAGCATTCATGAAAATCAGATATTATAAACTAAAATTTTAAACAGGCAGAATGTTTAAAACTAGTACATATAAAATATTATTATTCATAGATACCTAAACTTGGTGTGTGTTCATCTTTAGAAAGTGAACTGTTCAAATCAGACCAAATATGTGATGAAATGAAACTTCAAGCTCCATATATCTCATTCAACTCTCCACAAAGACCTATTACCATGTTCAACCTCTGGAGACATAAGCCGACAGTGGTTAGCCCTTACTTACACGGGTACATTTTCTGGCTCCTCCTCTTTTACTACATACATACGTGGGTATTAATTGAAAAACAAATTTTAAAGAAGAAAAAATTAGTTGACCGGCAGAAATGATAATAAAATAACAGCAAATATAGTCCTATATTTAAATATGTAATTCTGTTCAGGCTAAGAGAATTTAACCCCTTAGCAGTCCTATTAGTCCCCTAAACCATCCAATGTCCCGTGGGCGGTACGTCCGACTGCTAACAGTTTAATGTAGATCGACATCATGCACACTGCAATGCAATGTGGGGAGAAAAAATAGTTAATGCACTTTAAGATAATTTCTGTTTCTTTTTTCTTTTTTCCTATTTCCATTGTGTTTTGTGTGCTTTTACAGCGTTTTTCTTATTGCTGGTGTTTTCTTAAGTTGCAGTCCGTTTGGCCTCTCAGGGCCACCGTAACAATTCCATAATTTACACAAATTTACTTTAGAGAATATAATTATTTGACAAATTTATAGAACAGTGAGGGTTCTTTTTAGAACACACCAATTTTTTTCAATTATTTATTCCAATTCAAGTCTTTCAAGTCCAATAAATAGCTTGAAATGGTACAAAGGTAAGTGATGAACTCCAAGAGGTTAAAAAAAAGGTACGGTTTCCCAAAATCCTGTGTTGCAGAAAGTAGTGTGTTGCACAAAAAAGGTGAGAAAAAAGCAATTAACAGTGGAAGAGAGACAGACCAGCATAACACTTAAAAATTTAGGTCTTTCCTACAAAGAAATTGCAAAGAAAGTCAAGGTGTCAGTAAGTACGGTTTCCTTCACCATCAAAAGGCACTCAGGAATTTGGGGCAAACTCTGACAGGAAGAGGTCAAGCAGACCCCAAACCACAACTGAATCAGAGGACAAGTTCCCTAGAGTTAACAGCTTGCATGATAAGTGGTTCAATGGACAATAGCTTCAAGCACAGCTTAGTAGTAAGCTGTAATAGTAAGCATGTCTCCATTTCAACTGTGAAGAGAGGACTTCGAGCTGCAGGTTTGACAGGACTAGCTGCAGCCAAAAAGCCATTGCTAAGACATCAGAATAAGACAAAGAGGCTTGCCTGGGCCATGAAGCAGACTACTGAAGACTGGAAGAAGGAATTATGGACTGATGAATCATAATTTGAAATACAGTATATCACGTAGGATCTTTGTCTTCTCTGGGCTACTCCATTTTGGGGCTGCCAGTGTCGATTATCTGTCTCCATCTCACTTCATTTCGAACAAGATCCTCTGTCACACCAACCCTCCACATATCCTCCTTCACTATATCCAAGATCCTTCTCTGTGAACTTCATTTTTGTGTTCTGTCTGTTAGCTCCACATTCAACATCCCCTTTCCATCCTTATATATCCACTATCCCTCCTCATCACATGTGCAGATCATCTCAATCTTGAATCTCTAGCTTTGCCTCCAAACTGCTTAACTTGACCTGTCCTTCTAAGATACTCATTTCTAATTTTGTTGCTCCTGGTCATTCCCAGTGGAAATCTTAGCATCTTTAACTCTACCATTTCACCTTCTGTCTTTTTTATCAGAGCCACCGTCCCCAAAACATACATCAACTCTGCACTCTCTTCTCACCTGTCTTGGGTAGTGCCCATTGCTTTGAATGGTTGATCCCCTGTATTTAACTTATTTATCCTTGTGATTTCTTACATGTTCACCTTTCTCTCTCTTATTTACACACATGTATTCTGACTTTTTTCTACCGACTTTCATTCCTCTTCTAACCAGTCTATACCGCCATCTCTCCAGACTGTCTTCCAGTTATTCTCACTACACATCACAATGTCATTTGCGAACATTGTAGTTCATCCTGCCTTGCCCCATTTACCAACCTACCTATTCTTGTTAACAAGAAAGTGGCTCAGAGGTGATCCCTAGTGCAACATCCACCTTGGCTTGACCATTGTCTTGATGTTTTCCAAAAACTGTTTTCAAAATCTTTGATTAAATTAAATAGCAAAATGTTCCTTTAGCGTTCTTTGAGCGCTTTCTTTTTAGCACCACTCCTGTGGGTGGTGGCCTGTAAGCTCATCACCTGCAGGAGGTGCCGTCTCCTGTAGTCCCACCACGCGCAGTAGGTGCCATAGGGGTCAGGTGCAATGTGTGCTGGGCAGCAGCCAGGGGCAGAGACCCTCAACTCTCACTCTGGCAGAGCTTCAACAGCATTCCTAGGGAGGTTGGAGACATTGAGTCCAAACGGACAATGTTCAGCACCTCCATTACTGAAGCTGCTGTACTGAGCTGCGACCACAAGGTGGTTGGTGCCTGTCGTGGTGGTAACCCCTGGACCAGATGGCAGGCACCAGAGGTAAAGGGAACCATGAGGCTGAAGAAGGAGTCCTCTTGGGCTTAGTTAGCCTGTGGGACTTCAGAGGCAGCTGATAGGTACTGACGGGCCAAGCGGAACGTGGCTTGGGCAGTGGCTGAAGCAAAACTGGGTGCGAGAGAGTTCGGAGAGGCCATGGAAACAGACTTTCAGACTGCCTTGAAGAGATTCTGGCTAACCAACAGCAGCTCAGGAGGCAAAAGCAGTGCTCTACTTGCACTGTGTAGGGGTGGAGGTGCTGACTTCAACTGAGGATATTGTCGGGCAGTGGAAGGAGTACTTCAAAGACCTCCTTAATCCCACTGAGACTTTAGGTACAAGGGGGATGACTTGTCTATGTCCAGGAAAGAGGTCACGAAGGCAGTTAAAAAACTCCTTGGTGGAAGGCCCCTTGGGGTTACCCTGAGTTCCTGAAGGCTCTCAGTATTGTAGGGCTGTCTTGGTTCAAGGGGCCTCTGGATTGGCAAACCGGGATGGTGGTTCAAATGTTCAAGAAGGGGGACCAGAGGGCATGCTCCAACTATAGGAGGATCACACTTCTCTGCCTCCCCGGGAAAGTCTAGTCTAACTCAAGGGTGCTGGAAAGGAGAGTCAGTTCATTAGGCAAACCTCGAATGCAGGAGAAACAATGCAGTTTTTGTCCCAGTCCTGGAACCTTGGACAAGCTTAACCTCTCGAGGATACATGAGGGTGCATAGGAATCTGCCCAACCAGACTATATGTGTTTTTGGATTTGGAAAAGGCATTTTGGTATACTGTTGGAGGTGCTTAGGGAGTATGGGGTATCTGGCCCAATGCTACAGGCCATTTGATCCTTATACACCTGTTGCAAGAGCTTGGTCCCCATAGATGGCAATAACTTGCATTAATTTCTCCTGGGTGTTGCACTTCGCCAGGGCTGCCCTTTGCCCTTTTTCTGTTCATAATTTTTATGGACAGTATTTCTAGGCATAGCCAAGTGGCTCCCACTTGGGTGGTCTCAGAATCTCAATTCTGCTTTTTGCAGATGATGTGGTTCTGTTTGCTTCATCAGGTGATGGCCTCCAGCTCACACTGGAATGGTTGGCAGCCGAGTGTGAAGCGGTGGGAATAACAATCAGCACTTCCAAATCTGAGGCCATGACCCTTAGCGAGGAAAGGTTGGAGTGCCCACTATGTGCCAGGGACAAGTTCCTGCTTTAAGTGGGGGAGTTTAAGCATCTTGGGAGGGGCACAGAGTAGAGTCGCTGCTCCTTCACATTGAAAGGAACCAACTGGTTCAGGTATCTGACAAGGATGCCTCCTAGATGCTTCCTGGGTGAGGTGTTCCAGGCATGTCCCACTGGGAGGAGGCACTGGGGCAGACATGCTGGAGAGATTATATTTCTCGGCTGTCCAGGGAATGCCTTGCTTTTCCCCCAGACAAGCTGGGGGTGGCTGGGGACAGGAGGGTATGGGCTTCTCTTTTTAGGCTGCTGCCCCCATCACTCTGCCATCGATAAGTTGAAGAAAATGGATGGATGGTGGATTGCTTTTCCAGCCATTTTTTTGCTCACATCCTATCTTTTTTTTAGGATGAGCTAATATATTGTAAAATAAGTAGTAATCTCATGTTAAGCATTTTACACGTTTGTTACTGTGATCTATGAATAATTAATCGGTGGTAAATAATCTGCAAATTATTGGATTCTTTTCTTATATGACAACTTTTTTGGAATTAGGATTGTACTTTTTCAAATGTTTTATGCACATTCAAGATAGACGGCAATAAATTACACTGGCCCATGATTTGTGACAAGGGAGGAAGATGTAGTTATTATAAAGCTATTGCAGCTATCACAGTTTTATAAAGTGTTACCACCCATTCCTTTAGTGGAAAATCTCTATTACACAGGATATATAAAAACCACCAATAATGTTATAAAAATCCAAAATAAAATATGAAAGTCTGACAAAATTAATCTGATAGTTTATTTGATTACCTATCCTCTTACCTATCTTGGAATTGGTGAACCTTTCATAAAAGAAGGCAATTTATATTTGTATTTAAATACGTCACCAAAAGCTGTTAATGTAAATTAACCATAGGTCTTAAACCCTATTCACATGAGCATTTTACTGAGCATAACAACAGACTTCAATACACTTTAATAATAATATTATGTTCAATTTATTTACAAATACAGATGAACACGGCATGGTTTATTTTTTCCTGTACTTTTCTGAATAATAGTTTGAATTACTTTATTAAATGAAAAGCATTTTCAATGATGACAAGAAAATTATTACAAAACAAATTGTGGCACCTTAGCATTCAGAGTTAATACATGAAATGATTTTAGCATGATAGAAAAATCTCTTTAGCTGTTTAGAAATTTCCTTCATTTTGAGCCCATAAATGAATGGATTAAG